TTTTACGGTTCATCCGGACATATTCTTCGTTTCCAAAATTACGGAACAGGAATTTAAAGCTTTGGTTGAAGCGGATGCTAGACTAAACAATTCTAAGTATTATTTTGAGCTAGTAACGAAAATTGCTCATCAAATATATGACCAGCAGGATCAGGCATGGAAAAACATTAACATTTATATCGTGCATTCATTTACATTCTTTTGCGTCGAACTGTTTTCATTAACAGAATTCCGTAAATGATGTATGAAACTTTTGTGTGTTCTGATATTAGCTACAACTTTTGTCATTAAATCATATCTGTTTTTCTTATACATGACGAACTAGAAAGGACATAACATGTTATTGTTGTTCAGTAAATGTGATTTACATGCACTGAACGCTTTGTAGCCAACTGGTTACCCATGCTGACTTCGGTTCTGATCACCTTCCAGTAACTTTTGAAATATCCCAAGAAATAATTTGTAATCCCAACAGCTCTACTTTCAATTACCATAGAGATGATTGGGAGCAGTATCGAACATTTATGGAATATAACTTCGATCCAAACATTCCTTTGCAAACCAAAGATGAAATTAATTATGCTCTTGAATCTCTGACTACTTCTATAGTTGCAGCAAGAGCTGTCTCAGTACCAAAATGCGAGGTTAAATTCGATTCAATTATAATAGACGACGATCTTCAGCTCTTGATCCGTCTTAGAAATGTCCGTAGGAGACAATATCAAAGAACACGCGATCCTGCCATGAAAGTTATCTGGCGGGATTTGCAAAAACAAATTAAAAAGCGATTCTCTGCCCTGAGGAACAAAACTTTTGAAAATAATATTTCTAAATTTGACCCAAGTTCCAAACCCTTTTGGAAACTCACAAAAATTTTGAAAAAACCTCAAAAGCCTATTCCAGCGCTTAAAGAAGGTGGTAAAATTTTGATCACAAATTTGGAAAAAGCTCAGAAACTTGCTAAGCAATTCGAGAGTTCCCATAATTCCAGTTTGGGTCTAACTAGTCCTATTGAGAATCAGGTTGCTCGGGAATATCTGAATATTTTCTCTGGGGGACTGATTTGGGCGAAGTAAGGTCTATAACTAAAAAGTTTCAAAATATGAAAGCTCCAGGTGATGATGGAATTTTCTATATCCTCATCAAAAAACTCCCAGAGAGTACCTTGTCTTTCTTGGTAAAATTATTTAACAGATGTTTCCATTTGGCATACTTTCCTGATAAATGGAAAAATGCAAAAGTTGTTCCAATTTTGAAGCCGGATAAAAATCCAGCTGAAGCTTCTAGCTACCATCCAATAAGTTTGCTTTCTTCAATAAGTAAACTTTTTGAAAAGATAGTTTTGAATAGAATGATGCTTCATCAATACGAACTCAATTTTTGCATATGAGCAGTTTGGATTTCGCCATGGGCATTCAACTACTCATCAACTCTTAAGAGTTACCAATTTAATTCGTTCAAACAAATCGGAAGGCCACTTAACTGGAGTTGCTCTTCTAGACATAGAAAAAGCATTCGACAGTGTTTGGCATGAAGGTTTGATTGCTAAATTGAAAAAGTTTAATTTTCCACTTTATATTATGAAATTAGTTCAAAATTATTTAACTGACAGAACTCTGCAGGTAAATTATCAAAATTCCAAATCTAATCAACTAGCTGTTTGAGCAGGGGTTCCTCAGGGTAGCATTCTTGGGCCTATATTGTATAACATTTTCACTTCGGACCTCCCTGATTTGCCTCAGGGTTGCCACAAATCTTTGTTCGCTTATGACACAGGCATTTCCGCTAAAGGAAGAAGTCTTCGTGTTATTTGCAGCAGACTGCAGAAAAGTTTAGATATTTTCTGTTCTTATTTGCAAAAATGGAAGATTTCTCCCAACGCTTCCAAAACTCAACTTATAATATTTCCACATAAGCCTAGAGCTTCCTTTTTGAAACCTAGTAGTAGTCACATAGTCACTATGAACGGAGTTCCAATTTCCTGGTCAAACCAATTGAAATATCTTGGGTTAATACTTGACCAAAAATTAACTTTTAAAGATCACATTGAGGGCATTCAAGCCAAATGTAACAAATATATAAAATGTTTGTATCCTCTATAAACAGGAAATCCAAACTTTGCCTGACGAATAAACTTCTAATATTTAAACAAGTTTTTAGACCGGCCATGCTTTACGCTGTGCCAATATGGTCTTGTTGTTGCACTACCAGGAAAAAAGCACTTCAAAGGATTCAGAACAAAGTTCTGAAAATGATTTTGAAGTTGCCTCCCTGGTACAGTACTACCGAGGTACATAGAATTTCGAATGTTGAGACTTTAGAAGAAATGTCCAACAAAATAATTAATAATTTCAGGCAAAAATCGTTGCAATCCTCAATTGCAACGATAAATTCCCTTTATAATTAGATAAGATTTAGTTTTAGTTTTTAGTTTTAAGATATCAATTGTTATACTGACATGCAGGTTAAAAAACCTGTTTAAAATACTGAATTGCCAAGACATGAACAATGTAAAAACACACTTAGATATATATCATAACAATTAAGGCTGGTACGTTACTGCAGTAACTGGAGCACCTAGGTTAAAATGAAATGTAATTTATTTTGAATTTGGAACAAATAGAGTTAAAAAAAAAAAAAAATGCACTGAACGCTGTACTGTTCACTCTGGTTCATCATGCATAAGATATACAGATTTAAGTTTCGTATAAAAGATGTAGTTCAAGCAAAACCTACAAAAGCTTCATACATCATTTTACGGAATTCTTTTTTTTTTTCCTTTGGTTTGTTTTTTCCGTCGATCTTGTTTTCCGTGCTGAGCACCGATGCTACCGACGTGCTAGGAAGGCAGCTCCCACACCTGGACCCTACCTATCGACCCATCAACTCATGAACCGGGGACCAACGGCTTTACTTCCCATCCGAAGGAAGGCGTGAACAGAGATGTTATGCCTCAGAACATCCCGGCGGCGCCGACTGGGATTGAACCCAGGCCTGCTGGGGTGAGAGGTAATCACGCTTACCATTACACCACCGGCGCCGTTTTTTTACGGAATTCTGTCAGTGAAAAAAGTTAAAGGAAAATTAATGTAAATTAATGCAAGAAATGAACGTAAATGATTTTCCATGCCTGAGCAGGATGGCTTCCCACAACTGTCTGGATACATAATGCTTCACGAAATGAAAAACAGAGTTTTACGAAAATCAAGATAGCTTCGGGTCTATTCTGACAATTTTGGGTTACACTTATTTGCAGGTGGCTCATTTTTTACGCTGATACTGTTAGCCGAAAAATAATGATGCCTTGTTTTGGAGTGAAACATATAAACAAACTCTTTTTCAATGTAATCATTTCAAAAGATATACAATATTTCACAAGTCAACGCTTTTCAAAGGAACCAGCAAGAATTGTACGTAGATCCACCACGAAGCAGAAAGTACCATGCTCAACCACAAGACCATTAAATCATGCACTCGGCTTCGCTTTCGATACTCTCCGTACTAATGAAATTTACGGTGAAAGAGAAGAACTCCACTACTCCCCAAACTCCACTCAGCGGCGATCCCGGCATATCCAGAATGCACAGATGTAGTTATGAATGTACATACCTATGTGGCTTCTCCGTGTGTGGTTGTGCCCGTTTCGACTGCGGTTAGACACAAAATTGGCAGCTGCACCACTTGATTCTTTCCGTTTCCGGTTCGCGTTCAATTACCACCCTGCAGAGTGCCCACAGAGTACATACACACACCCACACTCTGCCACGCGTCATCAATGGGTGCGAACGGAACCAACTGCAAGAGCTTAATCAATTTCGAGTGCCATATGAAAGCTCATAAATTTCTGAAGGCACTTTCTTGTGCGAGGTTTTTTTTTTTAAACATTGATCCTTTCCGAAATGGAGATTTGCATCTGAGTAGGTTCGTTGGATTTGGTGAAAAATAGCCTCTATTAATCATGCACGGCTGTGAAAGTTTCTACTAAAAGAAATTAATTGATTTTTCGATGGTGCTTCCCACTGGGAAATTTTAATTTGGTTATTAGACAGACGTGGTTCAACGAAAATTATGGTTTTTTGCAAAATACTAGTTCAAAATGAATTACTTCCCGTTGATAGTGAGAAACCAACAACCAAATTCAGTTGGTTGTTATATTAGTAGTATATTATTGAGTATCAATACCAACCCCTGTGTCGTTCGTCTTCCGTATAACAGCGTTACGAATACCGTAAAACGGGGTGAAGTTGATCACTACGCCGTTCAATTTTCGTTTCTCAGCATCTTTTTTCATGATATTGTTATAACGTAATTGGTTTAGTAGACCGTTAAGTAGTTTAAAATTGACCTTTGAAAAGCTTCCGTTAACTCTAAATGTTCATTTTTGTGGAATTTTTTTTTTCCTTTGTTTTGTTTTCCGTGCTGAGCACCAATGCTACCGACGTCAGGGAGGCAGCTCCCACGCCTGGACCCTACCTATCGACCCATCAACTCATGAACCGGGGACCAACGGCCTTACTTCCTGTTCTCGATAGTCAGAACAAACACCGTCTTTTAGTTGCAAACTTAGCAGTTTCAAAGCTGTAATTTAATTGTTAACATTAGTGATGATACAAAGGTAAGTATAATACAATAATCTTACATTTTCAGTGTTCTTCTTCTTTTGCCAGGTCACCGTCTACCACGGATGGACAATTCCGACACGATCTATAATTAACGGTAGGTATTTAGGTCCATTTTAGGTTGGGCAACAAGCTAGGTAAGTACTATTATTCTAATTTTAGGAACAACATACCTCAATTCTAATGAATGATCCACTTACTACGTGGAAAACCGCGAAATTATAAATACAAATCGAACTGTAATTACAATAAACGTTTTAAATCACAATTCTTCAATTATTAATCGCTAAACTTACAAGCTATTTCACCTCACTAGAATTCACTTCTTTATTTTTCCTCACAAAGAAACCAAAGCAAACTTCTACAAATATATGCGTTTCTTTACATTCGATCTGTCATTCGCTTCGCCCGGCACTGGCGTTTCGCTCGCGAGGGTTCGGTCAGTTGGTTCACCCACAATTCGCCGCGTCGAGGGGTATCGGCGATATCCCCCAACCCGTGAACCACTTCCGTTTCCGGAGCGACTGCTTCCGTACTCCTGTCGTTGCTTGCCACGTCCAGAACCGCCAGCTTCACCGCAGGTCTAGCGAACACTCCTCTAGCTGTCTGTACCGTAGCACGCCTCACCTGCCCAGATTTGTCCGGAAAGGTCTCACAAATACGTCCTCGCTCCCAATGATTCTTCGAATTTTCGTCGACTATCACGACTAGATCGCCAGGTTCCAGCGGCTTCACTGCATCGAACCATTTCGTACGCCTCGTTAGCATCGGGAGATATTCTCGAACCCATCTGCGCCAGAATTCGTCCACGATGTGCTGCGCAAGCTTCCAGCTGTCTCGAATGATGTTACCGTTCACAGGTTCGGTTGCTGGTTGCTTGATACCGGTTGACCCATACAGCAGAAAGTGGTTTGGCGTGAGTGCCTCTTCGTCTGCTGCCTCCAAGGGAACGTAGGTCAGCGGTCGCGAGTTGACGATCGCTTCAGCCTCCAACATGATCGTTTCCAACACCTCATCGCTTGGATGACGCGGACTATCCGATACTGCCTTCATCGCTACCTTTACGGACTTGACCATACGCTCCCATGGTCCTCCCATGTGCGGAGCCGCTGGAACGTTGAAATGCCACTGGGTGTTCGCGTTGGTGAATGTAGCAGCGCAGTCCTCGACGATGTCCTGGATCTTCTGCTTCTCTTCAGACAACTGGCGATTCGCTCCTACAAAGTTCGTGCCGTTATCGGAAAAGACTTCCAACGGTGCGCCCCGCCGGGCCACGAATCTCCTGAAGGCCATCACGCAGGAAGTCGTTGAAAGGCTGTGTGCCAGCTTCAGGTGAACCGCCCTCACTGTGAGACAGGTGAACAGGCAAATCCACCTCTTCACCACGCTGCGTCCGACTTTGACTTCGAAAGGTCCCATATAATCGACACCGACGTAAGTAAACGGCTGAACGAATGGTGTCAACCGTACCTTTGGCAGTGGTCCCATCAGCGGTGGCACCGGAGCAGTTTTCAGCACTTTACAGTGTTGACAAGCTCTGCTGACTTTACGTACGAGAGTCCGAAGCTTCGGTATGTAGAACCCTTGCCGTAGTTCATTTAAGACTGTTTCTCCGTTGGCGTGAAGGAACCGCCGGTGGAAAGAATCCACCAGAAGGAAGGTGATACGATGATCCCTTGGCAATATTACGGGATACTTTGCCGTGTATGCAATGTGCGGCGCGTTTCCAATCCGACCTCCTACCCGAATGACTCCGTGATCATCGATGAATGGAATCAACGATTGCAGTGAGCTTTGTTTCCGAACGCTGCGACCCTTGCTCAGCTCGTGAAGCTCCTCCGAATACGCCTGCGCTTGGGCCTGTCGCCAAAGTGTCTCCTCCGCCTTCTCGAAATCCTCTTGGTCTGGACCTTGTCGCCATTGTGCATCACTCAGCGTGCGCTTCCAGAACCGTAGCGCCCTGTGAACGTAGGCCATCGTACGGACTAAACGATTCCAGCTTGAAAAACGTTCAGCATCAACTATCTCCACCGTCGTTTGGTGTACCGCTACCATTCGAAGTTCTTCGCTTGCCGCGTCTGCTTCGCTTACTTCTGCTGCTTGCTTAGGCCACTGCCCTTTTGGATCTCGTAGAAACGATGGACCTTGAAACCAACGGTTTTCTGGATCAAACGATGGTCCCGAATTCCACTTGGTGGCGTCATCTGCCACGTTGAGCTTCGACGGTACGTAGTGCCATTCATCAACGCTGGTGAGCGAAAGAATCTCGCCCACCCGAAAAGCGACGAACTGGTGGTACCGACGGCTATCCGAGCGCAGCCACGCCAAAACTGTCGCTGAATCCGTCCAAAGGAACCGTTTTCGAATGTTGAGGGTTAGCGCCGAACACACGTTTTGCAATAAGCGGGATCCCATCATGGCAGCCTGAAGCTCCAAGCGTGGAATTGAGAGCGTCCGAAGTGGCGTAACTTTTGTTTTTGCTGCTACCAACGAACACCAGCTACCTCCGCTGAACATCATTCTCAGGTAAGCGACACACGCACATGCCGCTACGCTTGCATCCGTGAACACGTGGACCTCGATTTCGTCCACCTCCTGTGGCAGAAGACTTCCGAAAAAGCAGCGCGGAACTTTCACCTCGTCGATCATCTCATACAGCTCGATCCATCTACTCCATAGTTCGTACAGTTGTTCTGCTATGGGCTCATCCCAGTCAGTACCCGTTCTCCAAATCTCTTGCATCAGGATTTTTCCCTGCACAACGAAGTGCGCCACGAATCCCAAAGGATCATACAGTTTCATCACGGTCCGCAGTACTTGCCTCTTCGTTGGAATCGGTCCGTTACTACCCAAGACTTCTTTGAGCCCTGTCTGATCGAAGGTGAAATGATCCGCTGAAGGTACCCACACGACACCCAAGACGCGTTCGTAAATTTCATTCTTGTCGAGGCTCAGCGACTTGCTGGCTGTCGATCCAGTCTCCCCTAGACGATTGAGCACTTCCTGCGAGTTGGACAGGATTTTGCCGAATTCTAAACCTGCTGCTGCGTGAATAAGCTGTACTTGGTTGACAAGCTGAACTGCTTCCTCCACCGAGTTGACACTGTCGAGGAAGTCATCTACGTAATGGTTGTTAATGATTGCGTTTGTTGCTCTGGGATACAGCTCGGCGTAGTCAAGAGCGTTTTTATTCTTAACGAACTGTGCTGTGCATGGTGAGCTGGTTGCTCCGAACATAGCGACGTTGATCACATAGACCTGCACTTCATCTTCCGGACTGCTACGCCATAGGAAGCACTGTGACCACTTATCCACCTCTCGAATGAGGATTCTCAAGAACATTTCACGGATATCGGAGCAAACTGCGATTTTGCCTTCCCTGAATCGTAGCAAAACATCTACGAGCGATACGAGAAGGTCCGGCCCCTTGAGAAGCATGTCGTTGAATGAAACTCCACCAGCCTTCGCGGCGGCATCCCACACCATTCGAATTTTGTTGGGTTTCTTAGGATTGGTCACCACCCCTAACGGAAGGTACCACACACGCTGAGGGTTCGCATTCGCAACCTCTTCCACTGTTACCTTGCGAACGTACTGCTTCTGCTCGTAACTCTTGATTTGCTCGTTCACCTTTCTACGCAACTCCGGATCCTTTGCCAACCGTTTTTCCAGTCCCCTCAACCTACTGATCGCCATTTGGTAGCTGCCCGGAAAAATCACGTTGTGCTTTCTCCAAAGCAAACCCGCCTCCATACGATTTCCTCTCCGTACCGTTGTCGCTTCCAGAATGCTGCGTGCTCGTTTGTCCTCCTCGGATTCGAGCTGCTGCTTCAAAACGGCATCTTCTACTGCGAAGAACTTTCGCATCGAATCGTGTAATTCGCGGTTGCTAATGTCTTCACAGGCATGGATGTGCAGCTGCTCAACTGATCCTTCAGTTCCAGAATTCCTCCCGTATACGCACCAACCTAGACGAGTTTTGGTTGCAACTGGTTCGCTGCTGCTGCCTTCACGAGTCTTCATCTAGTGAGCAACCGTACGTGTTCCAGCCCGATGATCATGCCAGGCTTAGCGTTGACATAGCTAGCCACGGGAAGACCTTCAAGATGCGGGAACGTATTCGACAGCTCTAAATAGTCCAACGTTTGACTTGGAAGCCCTAGCTCGCGCACCGTGCGCACGTTGCCCAGTTGGAATGTTTCCTTCTTCCGAGCTCCGGATATCTTCACGCTTATTCTCTTGGAAGTCTTCTCCTGTCTACTGATCTTGCCGGTCCAACTCAGCCACAAGTTATCGGGTTCACCCTCTATGCCCAACTGTGCAGCGATTTCCTCCTCGAGTAGCGTCGATGATGATCCGTCATCCAGGAACACGAAAGTTTCAACTTGTTTCCCTTCTCCGTACAGCGTAACTGGCAAATAGCGGAACAGCGAAAAGGATTTCGTGTGGTGATGATTTTGATGAACAGTCTCGCCAGACCTTGGACCATCAGTAGTATCATTGCGGCTACTGTGCAGCAGCATATGATGTCGAACTCGGCAACTATCCACTCCGCATTCCTTTTTCGAGCGACACGGCCATTTACGATGCGGTATCAAGCACAATCGGCACAAGTTCTTCTGCCGCATTGCCTTCCATCGGCCTTCGATGTCCAACTCTTTGAAACTGGAACAGTTCAGGATCTGATGACCATCTTTCTCACAATACGAACACGCTTTTGACGTACATTCGCCGCTTGCACTCTCCTTCTTCGATACGCTTGGCGACACGTTCGCGTGAGTGAAAAGCTTTTCCTTTTGCTTCGACTTTTCCACTTTTTGGTGTTTGTGGTTGTTTTGGGCGGATTCCACGTCGATGCTTAGCTCGGCAGCAAGGTTCACTAGTCCCGACATGAAGTTGTTGAATGTCGCTAGGTTGACGTTCGCTGACGATTGTTTGAACGTACCCCACTGCATCTTCAGCGAGGTGGGTAATTTGTCGACCAACTCTTGTAGCAGCATTGGATTTGATAAATGTGCTTGCTGATCAGCCAGGATGATATGATCGACGAGATTTTGAATTACCAACCCGTACGCGACGATGGTGTTCAAGTTATCATACTTCGGCGGCGGAACGTTTCTCACCTTCTTCAGAAGAGAACTAATCAGGATCTCTGGCCTTCCGTATAGCTTATGCAACGTTTCCATCACGTACGGGACGGATGCTGGCAGGAGTAGACGACTTCTAACTGCCTCAAGTGCGGAACCTCCCAAGCTACGTTGCAATCTGGCCAGATTCTCGGCGTCCGTGTACCCGCAGACCTCCGTCGTGTTTTTGAAGGAACTGTAGAACATAGGCCATTCCTGGGGATCCCCGCTGAACTTCGGCAACTCGCGTGGCATTACTTGCCGAGCTGCCAATTGGGCACTGGTCGGTTCCAAACTGACTGGCGGAGGGTTCATATTCCCGTAGCACAACGATGTTGGTATTACCGAGGGCGGTATTTCCGGTCCTATGACGGGATATGGACAACTTGATGGAGGGTACGGAAACGGCACTGAGTATCCGGAGTAAACGTTCGAATAGTTTGGAATCCCCGGTCCCAGACTTGCGGTGGTTGTAGTTGGTAACAACGGAGGATTTATGGGTATTGCTCCATTGGAAAAAGGAGGATACTGGAACGAACCAACCGTTGACGAAACAGGCGGATTCACGGAAACGAGAGGTACTGGTTGAAACGTCAGGCAATTGTTGCACTTGAAACTTCATTCCGGCTGCGCAATAGACTCGCTGACACCCGCGCACTGAAAGTGTATCCACGATTCGCACACATCGCAACACACCATATCATCATCGGTATCCGCACGATTGCACTTTTTGCAATGCTTTTCATTGCTAACCGAAGTCACACTGTTTTCGTCCGACATTTCGAGATCGACCTAAATTAACCTGACAACCGTCTCTAGTGAAGCTTGACGACTAACTCTAATGCTAACGACGATACTCACAACCGACGAAGGTGACAGAATAAAAAAAGGCACTGACTTTATTATGCTGCAGTTTCGATGTCGGTCCGCAATCGATGCGAATTGTCGTTGTTGTTGTTGTTGGTCGTCTTCAACGGTGGGTCGTCTCGCTGTCTCGCTGCTGTGAAATGTCCTTCCCGATGGGCAACAAGCAATCATCCAGCTCTGGATGAAAATCTTTGAAGGATGTTCTCGATAGTCAGAACAAACACCGTCTTTTAGTTGCAAACTTAGCAGTTTCAAAGCTGTAATTTAATTGTTAACATTAGTGATGATACAAAGGTAAGTATAATACAATAATCTTACATTTTCAGTGTTCTTCTTCTTTTGCCAGGTCACCGTCTACCACGGATGGACAATTCCGACACGATCTATAATTAACGGTAGGTATTTAGGTCCATTTTAGGTTGGGCAACAAGCTATTATTCTAATTTTAGGAACAACATCCCGTAGTTTTAAATCACAATTCTTCAATTATTAATCGCTAAACTTACAAGCTATTTCACCTCACTAGAATTCACTTCTTTATTTTTCCTCACAAAGAAACCAAAGCAAACTTCTACAAATATATGCGTTTCTTTACATTCGATCTGTCATTCGCTTCGCCCGGCACTGGCGTTTCGCTCGCGAGGGTTCGGTCAGTTGGTTCACCCACAATTCGCCGCGTCGAGGGGTATCGGCGACACTTCCCTTCCGAAGGAAGGCGTCATCAGAGATGTTATGGCTCAGAACATCCCGGCGGCGCCGACTGGGATTGAACCTAGGCCTGCTGGGGTGAGAGGTAATCACGCTTACCACTACACCACCGGCGCCGCTAATTTTGTAGAATTAATACAACATGCAACTTCGGAGATAAACCAGCGTCTGGCTGAAAATCTCATTAAAAAAGACTGCCAACCAACATGCAACTTTGAACTGTTCCTAAACATTCTATCAGAGTCAGCATTTATGCTGGTGCTGTGTTCAGTAAAATTACATATTTTGCTCAATTGTTCGTCGCTGATCGTAAAACTGATTTTATTTGAATATCTGATTATATTTGCCTAAATTTAGGCGTACTGCAACAAAATATGTAGTTTTTCGAAATACACATCTTTTGCTGAATCAGGACAGTGAACGATTTCTCTCCACAGTGCAGCTTCACCGGAACCATTCGGAACATCACGTTGTTATTTGTCCGAATGTGCGTGCTTATGCTAATCACGCCGTTGTGTCAGCTGACAATCTCCAACATAGCATCGCAGCTTGAATTTGCACTGTGCTGAACCGTGCTCGTTCAATCACACGTGGCACACATTCCTTACGGTCGGCGTACGACATGTTCCTGAAGTCCTGGCAATTCCACAACTGATGATATTTGCGCTGGAATACTCTGCACGGCTTGAGGTTTATCCGTTCTCCAACACCGGATTGATTATCATCGTCTTCGCTATGGTTGAATACCGAACCTATCGCATTGTTTTGATTGATTTTTCCTGAATGGATTTCACTGCTAAACTTGCCGGTTGGCTTGTACTCCATTCTGACGGTTGCTTCACAGGCTTCCGAAAATAATTCCGAGAGAAAATCCGTGACGGTGCTCAGCGTGACCTTCTTTTATCCTTGTTATTCGGTTGTTATCGACTAGATCCTTAATGAGCAGCGGATTGATCAGGTGCTATTTCAGATCCGTAGCTTCCAAATGTTCGCACAGCTGTTCGACTGCCGTTTGGAACAGTATGAAACTGGCTAGCTTACCAGATTTCGGCGCTGCACTTTCTCCAGATGGCACTAATTGCTTCGGACGACGGAGTTTACGAAGCTTTTGAACAACCGACATCGGCAGAAGAAGCTATCCACGCCTCATTTCGAGAGCTTCGTTGGAGGCTTAGTACGTTCGTAGAACAAAAACCACTCTTCTGGCTTCCCCAAGAAAGTATGCTTTTTTTTTGGATAATCCACTTCTCGTCACCGCTTGCACATTGGTTGGTCCAGCTCGTCTTGGCCTCTTTTTATCGATTTTTTTTTCTTGGGTTTGCAATTCTTGTCGTCCGTAACTCTGCTTCCTTCCGATACGCTGTCGGATTCCTCACCGAACTCGGTTTGTTCACCCTCGGATTCTTCATCATCTTCGTCTTTGTCACCGTCGTCGGAACTTTTGACGTACCGTCATGACGCTTCACGTAAGTACCGTGACCAGCTGTATCTGGTCCACCTGGAAAGGAATTCAACATGCTTGAAGGACCTTCAGAGCATTCAGGCCCTTTTACCGTGTTGATTTGGTAACGGTACAAACCAGTCCACCGTGATGTCACTGCATGCTCTGTTTGGGCATGGAATGAGAAACTGCCATGTGGCCTACCGCTGCAAAAATTATGGCAAGCTGCACGCATCTGATGCTTGCGAGCTAATAGAGGAGGCAGATCCCAAATGTTCCAATTGTGGTGCAGCACATTGGGCAACCAGCAAAACATGCCCGAAGCGAGCGGAATTCATTCATATCCGCAAAAAAAGCCTCTGCGCAGAATCAACCTGGTCACAGAAGGGTGCCAGAAAATAACGAGGAGAACTTTCCTGCCATCTCCCAACGATGCCAAATTCCGGTGCTTCCGTCACTTCTACTCAACAACCGTTTTGCTGCTGCTGAATAGGTCCCGCGAACAGCTGGGGTACCTAACACTCCGGAAAACTCAAGACGTAAGTTATATCTGGCAACCGCTGAATCCCGAAGTGCCTCTCCACCTCCGGGACTTTCGTGGCAGCATGAAGGTGCCAACGATCGAGAAAGCAGACACTCTGTTTACAACGGTGGACCTTTTTACACTCGATCCAGCGCACCTGCAGGACCCGAACAGAACAGCTTCATGCTGCCATATCCCTCATCAATAAGTATGGACCGTGAAGCCATCAAAATTGATAATTGGAACGCTATAGCAAGAGCAAGAGCATCGAGTTCGTTGAATTCCTCAACGAACGAAATATAGATATCGCCATCATCACCGAAACGCACCTGAAACCCAAGATTAGTTCTTACTTCCT